CTAGGAGATGACATTTTGGTTCTGTGGGCCAATGTATCCCCAAGAGTTTCTGATACCAGGGGCCAGGCTAGGTGTCGTGGGCCTAGGTCTTCAATCTTGATATGTTACCAAAAGGTTGGTCTAGAACTTATGGTCCTGTGGCTGCCAACTACTTTCTATTAGGAGTTCCATATTTGGTGCTGATTTCCACAGTCTCTGTTCTAGTTTCTCTTCCATAAAGATTGTTTTTGTGTACCAAGGACATAAGGTGACATTCATTCAGAGAGGACAGGCTTAGAACCATGACCCCAAACTACAGTTTCAGTCCTTGTAAGGGAAAGACAGAAGAATGCTGTGGGCCATTTTCACAGCTCTAATTCCTAGAAATATAAGAAGGGATTAGAACTGCAAACCAAAGTCAGCACTCTGCTTCCTGATTAGAAATCTTGGCAGGAAGAAAGGTCCTAGGTCTCGAGGTAAAATTCTCTTACCTGAGGACAGGCTTGCCCTGTGGGGTAAGGTTTCCTCTCTGCTTGTTTTCAGAGAGTACATTTTATTGCCACGAGTACCAGTCTTCCTGGTACTTATCATTAAAAATGGGCTTTGTGATTTGGGCCCGTGTCACCATGCCACATCCTTTCAAAAGAAGACAGTGTTACTGGCATGAATGGAGGCCTCCATTCTTCCTTTTACTGAGAAAATACAGGTTTGTTTTTGGACCATAATCTTCACATTAGTTTCTGAGGACAGGGTTTACTTTAGGTATAGCGTGAGAAGTTGTTTTGTCTAGTCTGTTATCAAGTACAATGTCTTGACCTTGGGAACCTAGGACTGCAAACTAATACCTGTTAGGAGAGTTCAGGCTTGGTGTCACAGGTTTCCCTTGTATAAAGACAGGTTTGCTGCTGTGGGCCTAGGACACCACTTGGCATTAGTTCAGGGATGAGAAGCTTAACCATGGGCCCATGCCACCACTTCAGTATCTGTTAGGAAAAAGCAGAAGAAATGCTGTGGAACTAGGTGTCAGCTCTACTTCCTGGAAAAGGTAAAAGGATTGGAACTGCAATTGAAAGTCACCACTCTGGCTCCTAAGAGATATTCCAGACATGGAGCCATGGTTCTAGTTCCCCAAGTAAGATATTCTTACCAGAGGAAAGACTGGCCTTGTGACTGAATGTCTCCAACCTACTAATTTTCAATGAAGACAGGCTTGGTAGCTTTAGTCCAGGGGTCCATTATATCATAGTTAGGAAGAGACTGGCTTTGTCATAAGCATGAGTCTCCTGTCTACATCATTTGAAGGGAGGACAGTGCTGTTACCATGAACGGAGGACTCCTTTCTTTTCTGTAAGAGTAGACAGCTTTGGTCTGTGGGCAATGCGCTGTACATTCATTTCTGTCACAAGGTCTAGGATGTTGGTAGTGTGAGTAGTTCTTTTGCGTAATCTGTTCAAAATTAGACAGTGTTAACCTTGGGATCATTGGCCTGCTGGATTCACGACGGAATCACATGACAGCCTGGTAGGAATCTGGTGCCCATTAGAGACCTGCCTGTATGAAACAAAGGGAGATCATGTCACATATGGAGATGATGAAGTGCTCCCTTTGGAATGACGAGTGAATATCATTTGATAAAATTCACATAAACACTGAGAAAACATTACTCTTTGTGTAACAGAAGGTGACTGAGATAGCCTCCCAACTGACCTCCAATCGAATGTAGGATGCATATCACAAAACTTACTTGCAGTCAATGGTATATTCTGCCAGTCAATGATCCTGAATTCGTCTCATGTTTTGTGTGTTGTCAGGAAACCTGATTTATTGCAATGGAGGTGACGGTCGCTTATGGAGCACAATGAAATCTGGAGGCTGATTGTGCTGTGAGGAAGCAACTGGATAACTGTGGAAATAGCAGCTGCAATTTTGCTGGATTGTAGGTAAAATGCTGAGTAGATATGAGTACCTCTTTGTGGCACAAAAATGGCTGCCTCACAATTCCTCTCTATCAAATCTCAGACTACAAATTCTGAGAGGGATTGGCTTAATGACCATGGAAAGGAAGCTGAGAATTTGACATTTAGCCAGTTTTTCAAAATGTTCTGGAAACTTTTGGTTTAGGCCAGCAGAGAAAAATCAGGTGGAACTCACGTGAAAATCTTGTGGCAATAACGTGGGTATCTCACCATATTCATGTGGCTGCCCCAGGGGAATCATGTGAACTACAAAAAACTAGACTGAGGGCATCACAGGCAGATCACTTGATATTGGGTGATGGTGTGGCACTCACTTTTGGGTTAGTCTTCTACATTCCTGGTAAAAGTCACATAAATACAGAGAAAAGGAGAGTCAGTGTGTACCAGAGCATGGCCGAGACAGCCACCTCACTGCCCCTAAATCAGAATTTCATGTATGCATGAGAAGAATGGCTTAGGACAGCGCTGTAGGCTACCAAACCACAATATTTAGTTAACTATCCTGAGGTTTTGGCTGTGGTCAGGCAACATGCTTGCAGACAATGGGAGCTGCTTTAGCACATTAACCGCATTTAAATATGGAGACTGAGTTTACTTGAGAAAGGTACATTAGAGCGGTGGAAACAACAATTGCAATTTCGTTGTATTGTAGGTAAAATGCTAAGTCCTTGTGAAAGTACAGCTGACTCAGAATATCTCTATAGCAAAGCGTAGACTACCAATTATGAGAGGGATTGCCTTAGCAAGCATGGAAAGAATGCTGAGATATTGATATGTAGGCACTTTTTTCAATGTGTTTTGGATTCCTTGTTTTAGCCAGCAGCAGAAAATGAGGTGGATGTCACTTGAAAATCTCATAGCAAGAACATGGAAACATGCCATATTCACTTGGCTGCCCCAGAGATTCACAAAACTATCAAGAGACTAGCCTGAGGGCATCGCAGTTTGGACACGTGATATTGGGTGATAGTGTGGCACTACTTTTGAGTTACCCTTCTACATTCTTTGGTAGAATCAACATGAATACAGAGAACAGGAGAGTCCTTGTGTACCAGAGCGGGCCTAGACAGCCACCTCACTGCTCTTCAAACAAAAGATCAGGTCTTCATGAGAAAACTGACTTGAGAACAGTGGTGTAGGCTACCAGAAACGATCCTTAGATAACTGCCCTGAGGTTTCGGATGTGATCAAGCAACTTGCTTGTGGGCAATGGGAGCTCCTCTAGCACATTAACCAAATTTACATATGGAGGCTGAGTTTGCTTAAGAAAGATACTTTAGAGCTGTGGAAACAGCAGTTGCAATTTTGCTGTGTTGTGGGTAAAATGCTGAGTCATTCTGAGGATACCTCTCCATGGCGGAAAGAACGGCTGCCTCAGAATTCCTATATAGCAAACCATAGACTACAAATTCTGAGAGGGATTGACTTATCCTTGGAAAGAAAGCTGAGAAGTTGACATTGAGACAATTCCTTCTACGTGTTCTGGAAACCCTTAATTTAGGACAACAGAGGAAAATGAGGTTGAAGTCATCTGTAAATCTGGTAGCAAGATCACAGAAATCTCAATATTCACGTAGCTGACTTGCGGGAATCATGTGACATCAAGAGCCTGGGCATCACAGGGAGATTACATGACATTGGGTGATAGTGTGGTGCTTCCTTTTCAGTTGCCCTTCTACATTCTTTGGTAAAATTCACATTAACACAAAGAAAAGGAGAGTCCGTGACTACCAGAGCATGGCCTAGATAGCCACGTCACTGCCCTTCAATCAAAAGGTCAAGTCTGTTTGAGAAGACAGGCTTGAGGACAGCACTGTAGGCTACCAGACAAAGATCCTTAGGTAACTGACTTGAGGTTTCGGCTGTGGTCATGCATCCTGCCTGTAGGCAATGGAAGCTGTTCCAGCACTTTAACCACATTGAAATTTAGAGGCTGAGTTGATATGAGGAAGCTACTTTGGGGTGGAAGAAACAACACCCACTATTTTGCTCTATTGCAGCAATAATGTTGAGTCATTGTGAGCATCTCTTAAAGAATTCAGATGTGACTCTTGCACTATTCTTGGATGCGGACCTTAGGCCAGTTGTGTCGAGAGGGAATTGCTTAATGGCCAATGCATTAGCTGAAATATTGAAAATGTGCAGTTTATTAGACATGTTTTGAAAACACTTGGTTGAGCATAGGGGAAGAGGATAAGGTGGAAGTCACCTGAAAATCATGTAGTAATCACTAGAGAATCATGTGTCAGTCACGTTAACACCTCGCGGGATACACATGGAATCATGAAAGACCCTGAGAGAATTGTCTGTCTCCCATGTGACTAGCCTTGTTCCTGGGGACATAGGTTCTCACTCTGCTTCTTAGAACGAATCATGCTTGAATGTGTGTGAAACATTTTCCCCTCGAGTTTACCTTGAAAATGAGACTGGCATTGTGTCATGTTTCCAAACATCCACTCTACTTCCCCTAATCCAGGCAGAGAAGAGGGCTATGCACCATGGACTTCTAATGACTTTTTTTTTTTTTTTTTTTTTTACCAAGATGGTCTTGTTCCGTGTGCCGAGTCCTCCGCCAAAGGTTCCGTTATGAAAATTTAGGTGAGATACACTGTTCCAAGACCTCCACACTACCACCTGGAAATGGGAACAATGCTTGGCCATGATTCCAATCTTCTCATTCGGCTTCCTGAAAGAAGAGTCCAGGCTTTGTGCAAAGTTTCTAAGTGCCTATACTACCTTTTCTTACCAAGGGAAAGCCTTGGTGTCTAGGTTACCATCACCTTTCAAACAATGGCAAAAGGGAAAATTGGTAACATGGAACAAGATTGAACTGAGTGGACTGTTAGGATGACACAAATTTGGTTCCATCAGCTCAAATTTCTATCATAAATGCTTTAAAGGGAAGACAGTCTTAGTGCTGTGAACCAAGTCCTTTGTTCTTCCAACTCCTAGGAAATGACATCTTGGTTCTCCCTGAGAGTTTCTGCTATCAGGGACCAGGTTGGGTGTTGTACACCTAGGTCTTCAGTCTGGACTTTGTTATCAATTGATTGGTCTAGAACTTGTGGGCTTGTGGCTACCAAATGCTTTCTACTAGGAGTTTCAGGCTTTGTGCTGATTTCCACAGTCTCCATTCTAGTTTCTCTTCCATAAAAAAGGCATGTTGCTGTGCGCCTAGGACCGAAGGCAATATTTGTTCAGAGAGGACAGGCTTAGAACCGTGACCCAAACCCACTGCTTCAATCTCTCTTAGAGAAAAACAGAAGAAATACTGTGGGCCAATTTCTCAGCTCTACTTCCTGGAAATAAGGGAAAGGATTAAAAGTGCAAACCAAGGTCACTTCTATGGTTCCTGATTAGAAATCCAGGCAGGAGCCAAGGTCCTAGTTCTCGAGTTAAGATTCTCTTACCTGAGGACAGGCCTTGCCCTATATAGTGTAAGGTCTCTTCTAAATTGTTTTCAGATAGCACGCGTTTATTGCCATGGGAATCAGTCTTCCTGGTTCTTATCGTTAAGAAAAGATAGGCTTTTTGCCATGGGCCCGTGTCACCACTCCACATCCTTTCAAGGGAAGACAGTATTGCTGTTATGAATGGATGCCTCCATTCTTCCTTTTGTTCAGAGAAGACAGCTTTGATTGTGGGTTGTAAACTTCACATGAGTTCTTGGTCACAAGGGCTACCTTGAGTGTAGTGTGACAAGTTGTTTTGTCTAGTGTTATCGATTAGACAGTCTTGACTTGGGAGCCTGGGCTGCACACTAATTCCTGTTAAGAGAGTCCAGGCTTGGTGTCATAGGCCTAATTCTTCATTCTAGTTTCACTTGCGTAAAGACAGGATTGTTTCTGTGGGCCTAGGACACCATTCAACATTTGTTCAGGGAGGAGAGGCTTTGAACCATGGGCCCAAGCAACCACTTCAGTCTCTATTATGAAAAAAAACAAAAGAAAACAAACAAACAAAAAAAAACAAAGGAAATTGTGGGACTAGGTCTCAGTTTTATATCCTGAAATAGGTAAAGGGATCTGAACTGTAAGCCAGGTCACAGCTCTAGCTCCTAAGAGAAATTCCAGATATGCAGCTAATTTTCTAGTTCTCCAAGAAAGATATTCTTTCCAGAGGAAAGACTGGCCTTACGATTTAACATCTCCAACCTACTAATTTTCAACGAGGACAGGCTTGATGGCTTTAGTCCAGGGCTCCATTGTATCATTGTTAGAAAGAGACTAGCTTTGTGTCATGGGGATGAGTCTCAAGTCTACATTATTTAAAAGGAGGACAGTGCTGTTACTATGAATCAGAGGTCTCCTTTATTTTCTGTAAGAGTAGGCAGCTTTGGTCACTGGGCCATGCACTACACATTAGTTTCTGTCAAAAGGTCTAGGATGTTGGTAGTGTGAGTAGGTCTTTTACATAGACTGTTCAAAATTAGACAGTGTTAACTTTGGGAACATCGGCCCGCAAGAGACACAACAGGATAATGTGATCGCCACGTGGGAATACGGTGCCCATCAGAGACCTGCCTATATGAAACAAAGGAAGATCATGTGGCACATGAGGATGTCATAGTGCTCTCTTTGGAAGGACGAGTACATATCACTTGATAAAATTCACACAAACACTGAGAAAACATTAGTCTGCATGTAACACTAGGTGGTCGAGATAGCCTCCCAACTGATCTCCAACTGAATGTCATATCCAGATCACAAAATTTACTTGAGGTCAACGGTATATGAGGGTAAACAATGACCCTTAATTCACCTCAGGTTTGGTGTGTTGTCAGGAAGCCAGCTTTACAAAAATGGAGGCAGAAGTCGCATATGTAGCGCGATGAAAACTAGAGGCTGAGTGTGCTGTGAGGAAGTGACTGGATAGCGATGGAAACAACAGCCGCCATTTGCTGGATTGTAAATTTCTGAGTCATTATATGGATACCTCTTCTAGGTGCAAAGAACGATTGCCTCAGAATTCCTCTCTAGCAAACCTCAGACTACAAATTCTGGAGGGATTGGCTTAATGACCATTGAAAGGAAGCTGAGTATGTGACATTGAGCCAATTCCTTCAATGGGTTCTGGAAACCCTTGGTTTAGGCCAGTAGAAAAAATGAGGTGGAAGTCACCTGAAAATCTTGTCACAAGAATACGCAATCTCATCATATTCACGTGACTGTCTCATGGATATCACAGGACCATCAAGAGACTTGCCTGAGGGCCTCACAGGGAGATCACGTAACATTGTGTGTGGTGTGGCACTCACTTTTGAGTTACCCTTCTACATTCCTTGGTAAAATTCACATAAACAAAGAGAAAAAGAGAATCCTTGTTTACTAGAGAGTGGACGAGACAGCCACCTCACTGACCTTCAATCAAAAGTTCAGGTCTGCATGAGAAGACTGGCTTGAAATAGTACTGTAGTCTACCAGATAATGATCCTTAGATGATTCTCCTGAGGTTTCGACTATGGTCAGGCAACCTGCTTGTAGGCAATGGGAGCTGCTCTAGCCCATTAACTGTGTTTAAATATGGAGGCTGAGTTTACTTGAGAAAGATACTGTAGAGTGGTGGAAACAGCAGTTGCCATTTTGCTGTATTGTAGGTAAAATACTGAGTCATTGTGAAGATACCTCTTCATTGCAGAAAAAGAAGGTTACCTCAGAATTCCTCTATAGCAAACCTTAGACAACAAATTCTGAGAGGAATTGGCTTAACGACCATGGAATGAAAGCTGAGATATTGACATTGAGGCAGTTCCTTCGATGTGTTTTAGAATTCCTTGTTTAAGACAGACAACATCGCCAAATGAGTTGAATGTCACCTGTAAATCTTGTAGTAAGAGTGCTGGAATCTCACGATATTCATGTCATGTCCATGGAAATCACGTGACCATCAAAAGACTGGCCTGAGGAAATCATAGGTTAATCACTTGTCATTGGGTGATGGTGTGGTGCTCACTTTTGAGTTACCATTCTATTTTCCCTGGTAATATTCACATAAACACTGAGAAAAAGAGAGTCCTTGTGTACCAGAGCATTGCCGAGACTGCCACATACTGCCCTTTAATCAAAAGGTCAGGTCTCCATGAGAAGACTGGCTTGAGACAGCGGACTAGGCTATGAAACAATGATCCTTATATAACTGGCCTGAGGTTACGGCTTGGTCAGGCAACCTACTTGAAGACAAGGACAGCGGTTGTTGAACGTTAACCGCATAGAAATTTGGAAGGTGAGTCGGCGGAGGAAACAGCAGCTGCCATTTTGCTCTATTGTGGCAAAAATGTTGAATCATTGTGAGCATAGCTCTTAGAGGGTTCAACGGGGACTCCTGTACTATTCTTCTACGCAAACCTTAGGCCACTACTGTCAAGAGGGAATAACTTAACGGTATAGCGTCAATGCTGAAATATTGAAATTGTGCAGTTTTTGAGACATGTTTTGAAAACACTTGGTTGAGGATAGGGGAAAAGGAATATGGTGGAAGTCACCTGAAAATCACAGAGCAATCACTACGGAAGCATGCGGCAGTCACATTAACACCTAGCGGGATACACATGGGGGTCCTGGAAGACCCCATGGGAATCATTTGTCACCCAGATGACTAGTCTTGTTCCTGAGGGTGTAGGTTTTCACTCTATTTCTTAGAACGAACCAGGCTTGAAGTGTGTGAAATGTTTTCCAATCGAGTTTACCTTGAAAATGAGACCGGCATAGTGTCATGTTTTCAATTATCCACTCTGCTTCCAGGCAGAGGACAGAGTGATCAACCGTGGACTTTTATAGACTTTTTTTTTTTTTAGACCAAGATGGTCTAGTTACGTGTGTCCAAGTTTCCGTTATGAAAATTTAGACGAGATACTCTGGGCCAAAGTCTTCACTCTACTTCCTGGAAATAGAAACAATGCTTGGCCGTGCTTCCAATCTCACCATTCAAGTTCCTGAAAGACGAGTCCAGGTTTTTTGCCTAATTTCTAAGTACTCACACTTCCTTTCTTTACCAGGGGAAAGATTTGGTGCTATAGGGTACGGTCACCTTTCAATCAATGGCAAAAGGGAAAATTGGTGATGTGGGTCCAGGTCGTGCTGAGTGGACTGTTAGGATGACAGAAGTATGTTTCCATTGGCCCAAATTTCTATCGTAAATGCTATAAAGGGAGCACAGTCTTGATGATGTGAACCAAGTCCTCCGTTCTTCCTACTTCTAGGAGATGACATCTTGGTTCTATGGGCCTATGTCTCCCCAAGAGTATCTGGTACCAAGGGCCAGGCTGGGTGTTGTGGGCCTAGGGCTTCAGTCTGTACTTTCTTATCAATTGGTTGGTCTAGACCTTGCAGGCCTGTGGCTGCCAACTACTTTCTATTAGAAGTTCCAAGCTTGGTGCAGATTTCAACAGTCTCCATTCTAGTTTCTCTTCCATAAAGAAGGCTTGTTGCTATGTGCCTAGGACCAAACATTCATTCCAAGAGGACAGGCTTAGATCCGTGACTCCAGGCCTCCACTTCAGTTTCTGTTAAAGCAGAAGAAATGCTGCGGGCCAATTTCTCAGCTCTACTTCCTGAAAATAGGGGAAGGGATTGGAACTGGAAACCAAAGCATTAGAAATCCAGGTAGTAGAGACGTTCCCTGGTCCCAAGTTAAGATTCTCTTACCTGAGGAAAGGATTGCCCTGTGGGGAAGGTCTTCTCTAACTTGTTTTCAGTGAGCACAGGTTTAAAGACATGGATACCAGTCTCCTTGGTAGTTATCCTTAGGAAAAGTGAGGCTTTGTGCCTTTGGCATGTGTCATCACTCCACTTCCTTTCAATAGAAGATGATGTTGCTAGTATGAATGCAGGACTCCATTCTTCCTTTTGTTCAGAGATGACAGCTTTGTTTGTAGTCCCGAAACTTCACATAAATTTCTGTTCACATGGGCTATCTTGGGTGTAGTGTGAGAAGTTGTTTTTTCTATTCTGTTATCAATCATATGGTCTTAGGTGCCTGGACCTGCACACTAATTTTTGTTAGGAGAGTCTAGGTTTGGTGTCACAGGCATAAGACTTCATTTTAGTTTCCTTTTCATATAGACAGGATTGTTTCTGTGGGCCTAGGACACAATTCGTTCAGGGAGGAGAGGCTTAGAACCATGAGCCTGGGCCACCACTTCAATCTCTGTTAGGAAAAAAACAGAACAAATACTCTGGAACTAGATCTCAGCTCTACATGCTTTATAACATGAAGGGACTGGAAATGCAAGCTGAAATCAACTCTCACTCCTAAGAGAAATTCCAGACATGGAGGGAGGTTGCAGTTCTATAACAAAGATGTTCTTACCAGAGGAAAGACTGGCCTTGCGATTTAACGTCTCCGACCTACTAATTTTCAATGAGGACAGGCTTGGTGGCTTTAGTGCAGGACTCTATTTTATCATTGTTAGGAAGGCTCTGTATCATGGGCGTGAACCTCCAGTCTACATCATTTGTAGGGAGGATAGTGCTGTTACCATAAAAGGAGGTCTCCATTGTTTTCTGTAAGAGTAGACAGCTTTGGTTTGTGGGCCATGCACTTCGCATTAGTTTCCGTCACAAGGTCTAGGATATTGGTTGTGTGAGTAGGTCTTTTGCATGGTCTGTTCAAAATTTGACAGTGTTAACCTTGGGACCATTGGCCCACGTGAGTCATGATAGGATAACAGGACGGCCCTGTGGCAATCTGGTGCCCATCAGAGACCTGCCTGAATGAAACAAAAGATCATGTCACACATGGGTTATGATGTATTCATCTCTTCGGAATGACAAGTGCATATCACTTGACATAATTCACATAGTGAGAAAACATTAGTCAGTGTGTGACAGAAGATGGCCGAGACAGCCTCCTAATTGTCCTCCAATCAAATGTCGTATCCACATTACAAAACTTACTTGAGGTCAACAGTATATGCGGCCAGAAAATGAACCTTAATTTGCTTCAGATTTTGTGTGTTGTCAGAAAATCTGCTTTATGGCAATAGAGGAGGCAGTCACATATGGAGCGCAATGAAATCTGGAAGCTGAGTGTGCTTTGAAGAATCGACTGGATAGCGGTGGAAACAGCAGCCACCATTTGCTGGATCATGGGTAAAATGCTGAGTCATTGCGTGGATACCTATTCTTGCTGAAAAGAACAATTGCCTCAGAATTCCTCTATAGCAAACCTCAGACAAAAATATCTGAAAGGAATTGGCTTAATGAATATGAAAAGAAAGCTGATAATTTGACATTGAGCCAGTTCCTTCTACGTGTTCTGGAAACCCTTGGTTAAAACAGCAGAGGATAATGAGGCGGAATTTCACCTGAAATTCTTGTAGCAAGAACCCGGGAATCTTGCAATATTCATGTGGCTGCCCCACGGGATTCATGTGACCATAAAGGGTCTGGACTAAGGGAATCACAGGTTGAACATGTGACATTGGGAGATGGTGTGGTCCTCACTTTGAGTTACCCTTCTACATTCCTTGGTAAATTCACATAAACACAGAGAAAAAGAGAGTCCGTGTGTACCACAGCATGGCCAAGACAGTGACCCCACTGCACTTCAATCGAAAGGCCAAGTCTGCATGAGAAGACTGGCTTGAGAATAGCACTGTAGGCTACCACACAACGATCCTTAGCTATCTGGCCTGAGTTTTTGGCTCTGGTCAGGCAACCAGCTTGTAGGCAATGGGAGATGCTCTAGCACATTAACTGCTTTTAAATATGGAGGCTCAGTTTATATGAGGAAGATACTTTAGAGCGGTGGAAACAGCAGTTGCCATTTGCTGCATTGTAGGTCAAATACTGAGTCATTGTGAGGATATCTCTTCATCACTGAAAGAACGTCTGCCTCAGAATTCCTCTATAGCAAACCATAGACTACAAATTCTGAGGATTGGCTTAAGGATCATGAAAAGAAAGCTGAGATATTGATATTGTGGCATTTCCTTCAACATGTTTTGGAATTCCTTGTTTTATCCAGCAGCAGAAAATGAGGTGGATGTCTCCTGAAAATCTTATAGCAAGGACGCAGGAATTGTGATATTCATGTCTTGTCCCACAGGAATCACGTGACCCTCAAGAAAATGGCCTGAGGCCATCACAAGTTGATCACGTGACATTGGGTGATGGTATGGCACTCACTTTTGAGTTACCCTTCTACATTCCTTTGTAAAATTCACATAAAACTAAGAGAAGGAGAGTCCTTGTGTACGAGAACGTGGCCAAGACAGCCACTTCCTGCCTTTTAATCAAAAAGTCAGATCTCTATGAGAAGACTAGCTTGAGAACAGCTGTGTAGGCTACCAAACAATGATCCTTAGATAACTGTCCTGAGGTTTCAATTTTGTCAGGCGACCTGATGAAGGCAAGGAAAGCGGCTGTCACACATTAACCACGTTGAAATTTGGAGGCTGAGTTGGCTTGAAGAAGCTACTTTGGAGCGGAGGAAACAGTGGCCTCAATTTTGATCTACTGTAGCAAAAATGCTGAGTTATTGTGAGCATAACTCTTAAAGGTTTCTGGTGCAACTCTCGCATTCTTGGATGTGGACCTTAGGCCACTACTGTCAAGTAGGACTTGCTTAATCGCCAAGGCATCAATGCTGAAATATTGAAAATGTGCAGTTTATGAGACGTATTTTGGAAACATTTGGTTGAGAATACGGGAAGAGGAATAAGGTGGAAGTTACCTGAAAATCACATAGTAATCACTGTGGAATAATGCGGCGGTCACATTAACACCTCGCGGAATACACATGGGTGTGTGCCTATGATTGAAAGCAAAATTTCTTCACAGAGGACAGG